ATTCTATTTGTGAGAATGAAGATCATCACTTAACATCAAATTGATTCAGTAAAATACCTCAGTAGGCAAGGAAGGAACATTCTGACTATGTTGAAGATCAGGGAGTCAATATAAACCACTTTTCCCAAGAATCGCACAATGCAACTTCCTCAGAGTTTACTGTTTAGCCTAATAAGTGGCTATCCCATTGTTGCACATTGCATACCTCATTTTATAATAAACGGACGGAAAAAAATAAAATCCAGTTTACGAGTCGTTTTTCCTTCTTTACTTATAGGTCTGAAACGAATTGTACTGCTGAGTCTAAATCAATTTGTTACTTCTTTGTATAGTCTGGTTCATATCCGTCTCAAAAGTATCACCCGCCGCCCACTATTTGTAAAAAAAACAATTTGTGATTAGAAACAACTGGCAGCAGAGCTAATGTACGTCACGTGGCAAACTTCAGAACTTTACTATCTTCTGCTATTGTTACTGATTACCATCCTCTCCAAACAAAGCTGTTCACGATTCCCATTTCTCTGGCCGCTCTAGTTCTGTGAGTGCGCAGTTTTATGGGACCCTTCACTAGTCAGGCGCTTCACAACCTCCACTGAGTTTAGCTCGTACTTCTTTTGATGGCTGCGACTGATCCAGTAATCTTCGAGGGTGCTCTTGTTTTCCTCTATCGTGGCCTTCCGTTTCCTCTATTTCAAATTTCTTGACTCGTTTTGCTCGATGTCGATTTAATGCCGATTCAATCTCGAAGTACAATTGACAAAACCTTCGCATGTAATTAGTTCCAATTAGTACTAATCACGTAACAATTTTCGAATGTGACAATGAACTTCTAACTCAGTATGAAAGCAGAAAAAGTTCTCACTTTCCTCATAACAACGTTTGTATTTGGTTTGTTGTTAGATTTATCGTTTCTCTCTGCCTCATCTCATTTCCTTTTTTCCCTTTCATCCTTTTTTTCCTAAATCCTACTTTAGGAACTATGACGTCATCTTTCGGTTTCAGTGCTAGACATTTGTTGTTTATGAACCCGCCATCTTGTGCTCTGACAAAAGCATCTTCTCCTCGCTTTTCTCAGTATTTTAGCATCTAAATAGCTGCAGTTTAGTTTAAAAAAAGTGTTTTAGTATCCGCTCACGTAATTGTGAGTTAAGTCAAGCAGTTTTTGAGCTTAGAAGGAAGTCTTCTACATGCATCCAAGCGACAGTTCACCCTTCCTCTGTTTCTTTGTGGAAAAAATTGGCGCCCAGAGTGGACGAAAACCCGGACGTCAACCCTTTTACAAGAAGAAGTCGATTATTAGTTCGCATAGCAAGCCCATTTTACATCGACAGAGACTTTATTAAGCTTATACGAAGCGAAGGTTGGTAAACAGGTACGAGAATAAACAAAATTTCTCTCCTTGAACGAAAAAGTTAATCAGTCCTAAGGTCGAGTTGGTGAAAACAATATGAAGCTCTTGGAAAACGCCCGTTTGGACACTCTAAGTGCAGCCATTTCCACGGACAAGGGAGACAGCCAAATTGATGGCAGGTAAGGTATCTAGATAATGAATACGTCTACAGTTTGTTGTTTATCTCTGTTTTGAAATGTATTTAAATTTTTTGTATCTAATTCCGTTCGGTAATTCTTCGCTTGAACCATATTTGTATTTCCAAGCTTACCCTACACATTTGAGATTGTCATAAGTTTACTCAGTGTCGATAAGCCATTAGCCATGAACAGCGAAATTATCTGATCCAGAAAAAATAAACTTTGAAGGTCGTAATGAATTTGCGAGGCTCAGCATATTCCATATCAGCTGACAGTCATTCACTAACTCTTGTGTCGGGGATCACTTTATGGTGTAATATTTGTCCACTCTCTCTGTATTTTTAGTGTTATTTCAACCTTAACTATCTGAGGCTGTAGATACTGGTACACGAAAATTTCCTTCAAGACTTCAGCTGACATAGCTCTTAGAGAAAGAAAGTTTTGGAGCGCCTGAGTTTTCTTGCGGAATTGCAATTTTTAAGTTCTTTTTAGAAACAAATTTTATTGGCTCGAGACTAATAAAATTTTGGCTGGGAACTTGAATTGACTTTTGATTTGCATGTGATGATTTTCATTTGATTGAGGAGAATCAATTTAATGCTGCATTTTGAGAGGCTTTCCACCTAAATTTATTTAACATGCTGATCAAGGACTATCCCAAAAATCTACCAAACTCTGAATCAAAAATAATCTCTGCGCTACACAATTGTGGCTCTTACTACCTGTCAATTGCTAATTCTGTTGGTTTTTAGTATACCTATGTCGGTTTGTCACTTCCAACACAAATACAGATTTTTCATGTTAGAGACTAATGGCCTAGAATCATCAGTATACTTATTTTCAATACTTTTCTCTGTAAATTTTGTAAGGCACTGATAAGGAGAATTTGTTTATTAGTCAAGAGGTTTAGTTGGTGATCATTTAGTATGACGTTAGACCCTTCAGTTTGATTTAGAGGTAATTTCATGTGGAGAAAATTAGGTGATAGTCACTCTTAGGCGTCAGAGGGTTAAGCGACTGTACCTACAAATCAGCAACTGACAGGCATGCTGCTTGTCAGTATAGAGAAATCTTTTTCAGTTTGTCAACAACACTCTTAGACATCATTGTATCTGTATCACTAACTAAACTACAGTAACTGCAGGATCACTTGTACTTTTGACAACCAGATTTTGTAACTCCATCCCAAGGGTCACCACCTTATCGCGGTGGGATGGTTTGTGTGTCTCAGTAACCCCTAGAGCTATGTCGGCTGGAGTCTTGAACTCCTGGTAGGGTCACCCATGCCGAACAGGTCGAAGGGTAGAGACCAGACAAAGTGTGATCCCCTGGTGCTCCAGGCTGGGGGTTGGGTTTGGACTGTTAACCCACCCTCATTAAAATTAGACAATCCATCCTCTATTTAAATGGTCTTGGTGGCAGGACCCCACAGTAACAGGTTGACACCTTTAGACATAACCAGGAAGGAATCCACAAATCTGACAATGGTTGATGATGTAAGGGAACTGTCAGAGTTCCAGTAAGACTGTTTGTCAAATTGAATGGAAGGCAATGCTAAAGGCCTGTGTCCTTTATTGTGTGAAGTCATATACTATAGGATATGATATTTATGAATGTATTTTATTCCTAGAATTGAAAGTTACTCTTGTAAGATGGCTGGTAGTGACAAAAAACTATATAAGAGTCTGAATGAAGGATGTGCCCCTCATGAACTTCAGGCCTTGTCACCACCACAAACTACACACTCAGCAAGCATATCACCTACCAACAGCAATTACCCTGCAGTCCTTACTAGTGCACGGCAGAGAAGGCTGAGCACAGGAAGTCAAGAGGAAGCTGTGCTGTGTGACACAATCAGTCGCAAGATGTTGTTCTATTTGATTTCCACCCTGAATGCATCATTTAACCCAGATTATGATTTCAGTAATGTGAAGTCTCATGAGTTCTCGCGTGAACCAAACCTTCAATTGGTGGTAGATGCAATCAATGGGAATCTGTCTGCCATTAATGGTGAGACATATGTTGCTCTCAGGGCAGGATTGTGGAGTGCAATTGATGAAGAGATTAATCTGGTGGAGTGTGACATATTCAGGTAATTGCATGGATTATAAGTAAAGTTCATATTTATATTATGATTTACCACTTGATGCCAAAATATTTAGTTAGATGTAAGGGTTCATGACTACTGAACTTGAATGTATTTTTATGGTAGGTACAAAATGTAGGTGGTGAAAGTGTGCTGGATTTAAAATTTAGAGGTTCATGCAGTTTCTAACTTTTCACACTTTCTCTCACAGCCATTTGTTTCACAGCAGTCTTAAGTTCAGTCACCATACTGTTTTTTTTTGTAATTGGCCAGTTGATTTGCCACTTACTAGCTAACTAATAAACAAACTTTTGTTCAACATATTACCTATCCAATTTGTTTAGGCATTCCCAATTACCAAAGAGGTGCCAAATACATTATTACTGAAGTCAAGTTATTTGAGTTGTTTGTAATTTTGGAAATATTTTTTTTATTTATGTCTAGCTACAATCCTGATCTTGACTCAGACCCTTATGGTGAGGAAGGAAGCCTGTGGTCTTTCAACTATTTCTTCTACAACAAGAAAATGAAGAGAATATTGTTCTTTACATGTAGAGCAACAAGGTAGGAAGCACATTTTGTAGAGGAAAATCTTTAGTGAAGTTCTACAGTACTGTTTAGAGGCTGAGGACCATAATCTACTGAAACCCCATATTTGTCTTGTTATTATGAAGTCCCCTGTTTTAATTCAGGAAAATGTGGGAACAGAATAGTTTCTATCACAGATATGAAGTAGAACTTTATCCAAACAGTCTGAAGCAACCTCGTATCTCGAGATAATCTCTTTACCTTCCAAGACTGTGCCTAAACTTTCCTTGAAATTCTTTTGAGACCAGCAATCCTCTAAAGAGAAAGGAAAAACAATGCTTTTGCTAGAGTATTGGAGTAAACAAAGTGAGCTACTGGAAACTTGAAAATACACATCCTCCTAATTGTTTCTCTATTGTGAGAATTGTTATTCTTCTCATCACTCATAAAGAACTGATCAAAGTTGAAATTTACAACAGGTCCATTGCTCAATACCAGTCTGATGAAGATGAACAGTTTGAAATGGAACCCATGGATATGGCATTTGAGGAGTCCTCTTTTAGCCGGTATGGAATGACACTTGTTAAAAAGTCTAATTCACATGTAAAGAACAGTAAAGGATGTGTGGTCTGTGCATTTCATCAGAGACAATGATGATAATATTGATAACAGTAGTTGTATTGAAGATATTGTAGTAATCATCACAGAAATTACAAATATTTGTAACGCTGTTTATCTCCTCTTTTCTAGGAATTCTCCAATTCTCATTTCCTAAGTGAAATCAAGTCAGTGTTGAGGATTACTTTTCTTGGTTATTAAAGAGAGGGAGGGAAAGGTGTTAATTATTGTTATTATTATTATTATTATAGCTAACCATCATGATACAATCTTAAATGTTTCTTGCAAAGACCATATGTACATATGCATGAATACTGCCCACTTATTTTACCATCATACACTTGTAATATAACCATGGTTCTTTATCATACTCGCATTTTGTACAGAAACATTAGTAAGTTTTTTAACAAGTTTATTTTAAGTGTAAGATTCACACATGTATTTGTTCACTCTTTGGACTAGAGGGTAATAACAGATTTAATGGAGGGGAAGTTTTTAGAAATATAAAAAAAATGTGTGTGCGCATCTGATGTTCTGTGCCTGAGTGTATGACATGCATCTGCTAGTTAACATATATATGAGTGGTACTGTACATGTAGTTATTCTTAACTGTTGATTCAGTATTGCATTCATGCATACGTTATCAATTTTGGGTTCATGAAGTTGTTTTGGTGTTTCTATCATCTTTGGATATAAAATAAGTGCTATGGCAAAAGACTGAAGTTTGCCTTGTTGAAAGTAACAGTTTATCTTCTATTTAATAATTGAGTGGTTATTATTGTATATGAACTGTGTGATTATATTTGTCTACCAGCATCACAGTTAGTTTATACAAGTGTCCTTCACTATGTTCAGACTTTGAATGTGTAGAGTTGCAAACAACCTCTCGACCAAGATGACTCTGAATGGGTTAATTGTTTGCTTACTGACAGCTTCTTACAAACAGAACTCTAGAAATCCAAGCGGCATGATCAGCAATATTTTGCTGTTGCAAATAGTTTCTATTAGAGGTGTTTTGTTCCACAGACCAACTGAAAAGCAAAAACCAAGGGTTTGATATTGCAGGCTAAGCTAGCTGGTTTGGAGGCACATTAATTCTGTTTAATCTAAAGTAACTTGCAGAAGGTAATATTTAGGGCACATAGCTGTTGATGTGTAAATGCTAGATTTTGTCAGCAGATAAGTGCACTTTGAGCAGATAGTATGTTACTGGTAACCTGTAGTTGTTCCATTCAACTACAGATTGCCTTATTTCTGACAACAAGGTCACTGTTCAATTTTTGGTGTTTCCATATGTTTGCTTAAATAAGTGTTGACAGCAAAAATATCACCATCAACAAATTGGCACTCCCATGAGGGTTGAAAGGTTAACAAAATGTCATTCTTGTGAAGCACATTGTGTTGCTTAGCAAGTTAAGGCAATTTTCATTCATTATATCAGCATGGATATTTAGGTGTGAAAGGCATTTCAAAGAAACATATGTGGTATGCTATAACCACTAGGCTGGTACTGTTCCAAGGTTACTCTAGGTCAGTGCAGAAATGCTTTACCTTAAAAGGTGCTAATTATGTAAATTAGTATACTTAGATCTGTTTGCAAATGTTGTGAATTTTATTGTGTTGTTGGTGATTGTTGAGAAAATTATGCTGGTGTCTCAAAACTTTACTCCCAATACCAAGCATCAAATATCAATTCTCTGCACTGTCGGCCATACATTTTGTATGAGTTTAGCCATGATAATTTTTTGTGATATCAAACAATATTCCCTGGTCTTTCTCATCAATTCTTAGTTTAAAACTGAACTTATATTGGAAAAATTGCTTATTGGTCACAGACTGTCTGCTGGAGTGAATGAGTTATTTTGGGTTTGTAGAAAATGTTCTCATGGAACATATCATTTTCTGCAAACTGTAAGATGGACTTAAGTAACATGCATAGCAGGTTTTATTTGTTTTAGTAAGAACCCTGTCAGCGTTCTTACCATTGTATTTAAGAAAATTTAGTCCATAAGGTAAATATTCCATTTTTGCTTCGCTTTTAGTTTTTAACAATTTTACATTTCAATTTAATTTTATTACTTTCTCTAAGGTTAAAGTGTCATTTACTTAACAGCCAGCAGAAGGGTTATTAAATTTTCACCATGTACAGTTATGTACTTTGGTTGTAAGGTTGTATTAAACAGACTGAACATTGGAATTTTACATGTAGTTTCATTATTTTTCCCTCAAGTCCAGTGTCATTTGTCCCTTTCTTTTTAAACTGTGGCTTCTGTTCCTTTGTATCTTTCCTCCCTTTCCACTGATTAAACCATCAAGTTTTGTTGTCTCAAACTCAAAGGAAAGGGTACTTTTGGGTGTAAGTTTTTAACCTTGAAAGAAGGATGTATTGAGAAATTGTACCCCAAGAAGGGAATTTCATATGAAGAAAAGAGTCACATTGTGTAACTGGAGTTGTTTAGTATGAATCAAACTGCAAAGATAAAGTGATCTAATGACTCAAGCCTCAGATGACCTCAAAAGAATGAAGAATAGGGACTAAAAAAAACTTTCCCTTTACTCCATCTGTTTCTTCAATTTGCACCCTTAAAATGAGACAGCCAGCTTCTACAGCCTCATCACAGGGTAATTCCATCTTTCGACCTGGTGGGTGGAATGAAACTCAACTTTAGGGGTGCTGACAATGGTTAAATTAGGGGGGAAGTTCTTTAAAAGTATCAATGAATGTTTAATACATACCTCTTAAAAAGGACAGAGCTCAATGTATGTTCAGACTTTGATAATAACAATCTTTCCCACTGTTTCTTCATTGTTGTTCCTGTGATTTTTTTTTTCGCTTTTTTTCTTTTTTGACGTACTTTACCCTATTTACCACGTCCTATCACTTCCCCCTCCTCCCCCCACCCCCTGCGGCCGTGGGTTGTCCGTATTGCTTCAGGGCCGACCCAGTCCCCTGTCGGCCGAAGGTACAAAATGGCTGCCAAGGATGGCGGGTTGGTGTTTGAAGAAACCAGCGAGTTTAAAAACCCAGAGGAACACTTTTTGCCGCCTGGATGGGAAATAAGAACAATGGACGATGGAAGGATCTATTATGCGAAGTGGGTCTTTTCCCGTAGCTTAATTCGTGATTTCAACCTAGTTTTATGAAAGGATCTGTTGCAAAACATTTTGTCCGGCTTACGGATGCAGGTTCCAGTATAGGAACTGAGTTGTGATCGTTATAAATTAGAGGGTTTTTGAGAAAAAGATATTTATGTTAATTCATAAGGTACATTTTTCCTTTTCTGTATAAATTTTTGTCGAACATAACGTCCTACAAACTCGCTTTTAATTCTTTCTTAATGTAAACAATGATATTGGACGTTTTATTGTTGGTCTCGCTCAATTGATTTGTGACAATTTAAACATTTGCTTACCTTATTCTTAATAAAAATTTAATTTTTATAGTCATTTGACAAAATCAACTCAGTGGGAACATCCAACGTCGGGAAAAAGATACAAAGTCTGTGGAGGTATTTCAAATTACATGATTTACAAATTAAATTGTTAATTATGTCAAACCTTTCAACCTTAAAAGCGTATAAAATGTAATTTCTTCTTGAAATGTCAATAGAGCACTCAGAAAGGTAACGAGAATTGCCAGTTTTTCTGCAAGGTGTTATCTCCATACCCAAAAACTCTTCTAATCGGTTTACAAAGGAATGTTGAGAAATGGAAATGGAGATTTCCTGATCAGATTTTGATGCTCTGATAGGGCTTACAAATAGATTACCATTTTTTTCATTTATTTTTGTAGAGCTTCCACAAGGCTGGCAACAATTGTATGACAGTAAAGGGAGTGTTTTCTTTTTTGAGTGAGTAATTTAATCTCTTTGAAATCATATCACAGAGATACTATCCTCTGGAAATGTTAAGTATTTAGAGCTGTTTGAACCATTACCCAATTTTATTTTTAAAAACTTGAAATTAGAAATGACTGCTTTGTTGCAATCTCTGACCATAAACTGGAAGTCACTCGTCATGTAGATGCACATGTCTGGATTAAGTCCCCCAAAAAATTCTTTTGAAACAATCATCCCTAAGAAGAAAATCTGTCACTGGTAACAATTTTTTGGTACAGATGAAATATCCCTTGATTTCACTTTTACATGCAAACATATTCCAAGATTTACTATTTTATGGAAAATTTAACAAGGTGTTGATCTGGAGATTTTTTTGGTATCCTAAAGACTTCTTGTCGTAGTGGGAGAGCTGACATATATCCAAGTTCTCATCTTGTGTTATGGTAGGATCCATTCTTAAAGATAATTTAGTTTCCACTGATTGATTGGTACAATCTTTTAACAGTTCTGTGAATAGAGTAACCACTTATGCTGACCCAAGAATAGCCCTGAACTTCACCAAAAGTAAAAAAAATTCAAAAAAGTTGGATAGTCACTCTACAGCCATGCATGTGTTAAATGGAGAGGACTTGAGTGGAAAGGTTGCCATTGTGACAGGAGCCAATAGTGGCATAGGTTAGCACATTTAACACATTGTGTTCAGGAACCATTTTAAAATAAAACTGAACCTTTCCTGAAGGCCAGCTATCTGCAACAAGCATCGTTTCTTTCGCTCTCAGATTACTATTATCACACCAAACCTCTCTTCAATGGCCATCTTTCTACATGTTGAAATTAACTATAATTGTCCTTTGATTTATCTTAAGCATGTACTAGTTGGATCATTACATCTCAATGCCCTCTCTTCTTACCTGGTTTAAAACATTCCTTTGTTTGATCTCATCCATGTTTTTAAGCCAACAAAAACTGTAGCTACATGAAGTAATGATTAACCCTTTAACTCCCAAGATCTGATTGTTAATTCTCTCCTCCAGCTGCTACACATTTCATTGTAAATTGGTAACAAGAATTTGGTGTTCAATCTAGATAATATCGTGTACCTGATAAGTTTGAGTAATCTCACCACCTGTTTGCTGGATAATGTATGGATGCTATGGGGAGAAGTAACATATTAATCACTTCTGGGAGTCAAAAGGTTAAGTCCTACCCAGGTAGTGAGGCAGTATTCAATTGATTTTTATCCTATTTTAAAATTTTGCTCCTCTTAACCCTTAAACTCCCAAGATCTCATTAGTAATTCTCTTTACTGTCTGCCATATAAATATTGCAATATTAGTTTGGAGTATTTGGTATTGGATCAACTAACAATCCCCTAATTTATATCTTTCTTTGTCCTCGTCACTTGTCTTCTTGATATTGTATTGATATTTTAAGGAGAAATTCTGTCTTGGTCTCTTATGGGAGTTAAAGGATTAAACTAATGAAATCTTTTTTGTTTGTTGTTGTTGTTTTTTTTTTATCATGAGTTCGTTTTTTATTTGTTGTTAATTGAATTTCCAACACTTATTATTAGGTTTTGAGACTGCCAAGGCACTGGCACTTCACGGAGCTCATGTGATCTTAGCTTGTAGGAACATGAACAAAGCAAACAGGGCAGCAGCTATGATCAGACAAGTACAGGTCATTAACTGAAATGTTTACTCTTGTTAATTTCTTTCCTATGAATATTTTACTGTTTATTTACTATACTCTTAGATATTTCCAGTACTAAAATAAATTCAAATTGTCAGTAGGCTCCATTTTAAGCCAGCAGTCATCATATTATTAGTACCCAGGGCACTGCATACAAAAAGGGTGAATCATTATGCTCTTGTGGTGTGACTTAGTTTAGTTTTGTTCTTCTTGCTTGGCAATAAAACATGCATGTTCTTACAATCTACATCTCCTGTTCTTGATCAAAAAGTACAATGGTCATTCCTACTGTACTTTCAATATTTAATTTTATATGTACATTAATGCAGATGTATTTTCAGAATTTCTGATAAGTTTTGTTATTAAGTTATATCAAGCATGTGGGGAGTTAAAACCAGTACATTCAGCAAACTTTCCTAGTTTTAAAATTTAGTTTTATTTTCTTACTACCTCAAATGCTGTAGACCCCTGAGGCTTACGTGGAAGCTATGTTGCTAGACCTGGCATCATTTACAAGTATCAAAAACTTTGCAGAAGAATTTAGAGGGCGGAAACTGTGAGTGAAACCCACTCTAAATCAATTATTTAACCATTTTGGCAGAAGGCAATATTTTAAAGAAAGGAATGTGCTGTGTGCAATTTTCAAACACTGAGTAAGAATTTGAAAATGCAAAAAGTGCACACAAAGTGTAAACTAGTTAACTTGATTAAGAAAAGCAAAGGAGGAGTCCTTATCCTGTTTCATGCATTAATTTTTAGAAAAATTCACAAATCACATGTACCTAAACAGCTTTTTATCTTTCATTCATTTGCCAAATTTCTCTTAAAATTTTGCAGTTTCTTCTTCAAGTTGGTAATTCTAAATGTATAATTTTATTTCTCAAATTTGTGATTTTCCAGTCCTCTTCACATTCTTATTTGTAATGCTGCTGTATTTGGTTTATCATGGAGCAAGACAGAGGATGGAATTGAGAGCACTTTTGGTGTCAATCATCTTGGCCATTTCTACCTTGTGAAGTTGATTGAAGATATTCTTTGCTCATCATCTCCTGCCAGAGTTGTAGTTTTGTCTTCAGAGTCTCACAGGTGAGAGAAATCTGTGTTCATTTCACCAAATCACAGTTTGGGCTTTTGTGCAGTGTAAGTTAGCCGTAATGACTCTGTTGTTTTTGTGTCCCTCAGTTTCCAATTTGGAAGGGCCAGCTCCAAAAAGTAATATACCTGTACTGTAGAAAACACTGAATGGTAATTTTGAGAGAGATAAGAAAATAACGAGAAAGGTCAGCTAATTTCAAGTATTGTAGCAGTACTGTGTTATTGTTTCATATTATACTGATAACTTTTTGCTGATAAATCCTGGCAACATTAATTAAGAAGTGCAAAGCTTTGGAACTCCACATCTGTAGAGAAAGTAAAAATTAAGGAGAATCTTGATATTTGATCATTTGATTTTTGAATGTGGAAAATAAATAATGCAATCTGGGTTCAACTTGGTAAAAAAAAAACAACAAAAACTTTTGAGAAAAATTAATTTTTTTTCTCTGAAACAAAAGATGTATTTTGAGTTTATTTGGATGATAAGTTATCAATTAAGTCTTTTCTCCTTCTTTAGGTTTCCTGACCTAACCTACTCTACAAAGTTACCTTTGTCAGAGCTACCCCTTTCTAAAGATAAATACTGGTCCATTGTGGCATATAATCAATCCAAACTCTGTAACTTGCTCTTTTCCATGGAACTGAATCGTCGCTTGAAACCAAAAGGAGTGACATGTAATGCTGTACATCCTGGGAACTTGATTTACACTTCATTGTCTCATACCTCGTGGTTCTATTGGATCTTCTTTGTCATGGCCAGACCATTTGCAAAGACACCAGTAAGTTCTAAGTTTTGTAATACACAATAATAAACTTGA